TCCAGACTGAAACTTAAAAGATTTCAGGGGAGGGGGCGGGTCTGGTGGCATAGTGGTTTAACTCGCATGCTCCACTTCAGGGCCAGGGGTTCACAGGTTTGGATCCTGGGCACGGACCTGCACACTGCTCATTAAGCCATGCTGTGATGGTGTCCCATACACAAAATAGAGGAAGATTGGCACAGATGTTAGCTGAGGGCCAATCTTCCTCAAGCAAAAGGAGGAAGATTGGCAACAGATGTTAGCTCAGGGCCAATCTTCCTCACCAAAAAAAGGATTTCAGGGGAAGAAAATCTTTCCACCAAAAGAAACAAAATATTGACCCACAGGTTTCCACCTGTCTGGTCTTTAACTCGGGATAATGGCAGGAGGAGATTAGCCTGCCTAGGAACTACTTCAATAAATCTTCAGTTACTGTCACACTATTATCCATAACTGTTGTGGAATTTAACCATCCGCGCATGCAGCAGTCATCTGGGTGCTTCCGAGAACAGCCTGCATGGTGGGGCTTCCTCCAAGCTGCCTTCCTGCAGCTGCATGACTTTCTCAGGAACAAGGGCTGGTGATGTGTCCTGTCCTGGGGAAGTGGTCTCCCCATTGGCTCTAGGCTTTAAGGCTTCTCTGGTTTCGTGTGTGCAAAAAGCCTGAGCACAATCCATCAGGGAAGCTTTGATATAATCTCTGTTCCCTGCTTATTTGTGTGCTAATTCAATTTAACTCAAATCAAATTTAATTCAGCACTGAGCATCTGCTGTGTGCAAGAAACTGTGCTGAGGGCTTTAGCAGACGTCGAGACGTGAAAGTCAGGACTCCTGTCCTTGAGGAGTTTACAGGCCAGTGATTCTGATTTCAGCACTGTCATTTTACAACGCACATTAAGTTTCTCTTTTGGACAAGTGATTCGTAATCCTCAGGAGAGTCTAATGGGATCTTGTGCTGGCTGGCCGGTGGGAGCAGGGGCAGGTGGAGCGGTCATTGAAAAGGGTAGATTCAATACGTGCTATTGATTTGATAATTCTAACTAAGGAAAGTAAAACTCAAAACTATCCTTCAGAGGGGATGTGCACAAGACTGCAGGATGAACACGTATCGCTTGTGTGGATTTAAAATTAGAGGTGCTATCAGACTCTCACAGACGCCTCTGAGGAAGACTCCCTCCCCATTTGGAGGTTAGATCACTTTGTCGTCAGGGCTTGTTCATGTGGACACCACCTGCCAGACTCCAGTGCAGGAGCCGCACCTGCTTCTGACAGCACCTCCAACCCAGGTGCTTCAGGACATGGAGGGGACCCTTCCCTCCTCGCGCCCCTAGCGACTGCCACAGAGGAGAGGGCCCTCAGCACTCAGAAGTGCTTTCTCTCCCCACTATGTCCACTGCTGTGGCCCTAAAACACAGATCACTTTTCATGAGAAACTGTTCCTGGAAGATCCCAAGAGGCCATCGGATGCCTAGGAACATTATTAGATTGTATACTATTTTCAATTTCTGTATTTTCTCAAGATTAAAGGGCTTTCAAGTGCATTGTTTTCTTTTGATCCTGACAAACATAGCGTTTTAAGAATCTTAGAATCCTGTGAGATGGAAGGACCTTAAAGATCACATCTAACTCTCTTTCAAACAAAAATTAAGATCAGAACAGTTAAAACTTGCTCCAAGTCCTAAGATTTAGCAAGAAAAGCAAGACATATTAGTTTTCTATTGCTGCAAAACAAATTACCACAAGCCAAGTGGCTTAGACAACCTCCATTTATCAGCTCACAGTTCTGCAGTCAGAGGCCCCGTGGGCCGCCTGGTTCCCTCTCAAGGTCTTGCAGGGCTGGAAGTTAGGGGTCAGTGTGGCTGAGTGTCCCTCTGGAGGCTCTGGGGAGGGACCCCTCCCCAGCTCATCTGTTGGCAGGACTCAAGGCCCCACCTCCTTGCTGGCCACTGGCTCTTGGCTCCCAGAGGCCCCTCTCAGGTCCTTTCCATGTGGCCACCTCCACCCTCAAGCCAAAAACAGCACGTCAAATCCTTCTTTTACTTCAAATCTCTGACTGATGCTGCTGCTACCAGCTACAGAAAATTCTCCACTTTTAAAGGTCACGGGTGATTAGGTTAGGCCCACCAGGATCTTCTTTTTCTTAACATCAACTGTGCCAGGTAACAACCTAATTATGGCAGTAAAACCCGTTAGATTCTGTCCCAAGAATTGTACAGGATGTGTACATGGAGGTGTGGGGGAGTGAGAAACCTTGGAAGACAAGTAGGGTCCTGCCTACACACCGGGGTCTGGGAATCACAGACATGGTTTGATACCAGCTGCACCATCTCTCCAATGGGCACGTCACGAAACGTGACTGAGCCCAGGTTCCTTCATCTGTAGGATGAGGATAATAAATACCTCACAGGGTTTCTACTGTAAGGTTTAATGAAAGATATGAAAGTGGTTTCAAGGTATAAGGCACTACCTGGCAAGGTCTAGTTGAAGTAATACGTCCAGGTGTGTGTGACCACTAGACTCAAAGCTCCTTAAAGTTTGTCTGTTCTGACCTGCCGAAACGCAGGTGAGCCTTACTTTCAGTCACAATGAAATGGAAATTTAGGGCACCAAGAAATGGAGAGGAGTTACGAGGTTTCAAATGGCCGTTTCCTCCTCTCCAGGACAACGCTAAGCTGTATTTGGATGTGTCTGGTCTGCTCTAGCCCTCGGCTGAAGCTGGGCCTTCTTCCAGTAACTGGACAGTCCTGGACCCGAGGCTGGCATAGCCCACCTGGTAGAGTAGGAGTCTAACTCAGAAGGATCGTCTACAGATGGGAGCAAGGCACTGCAGAGAAGACCAGGCGAGGGTTTCAGCAGGGAAGACAGTCTGTCTAACCCGCCTCGCCCTAGAACATTCCTTAGGGCAGAAATTGTGAGTTATGATAACATCGAATAACTCTCAATACAGAACACTGAGGGGCAAGATTCTCTGTGGTCTGAAAGCAGCACTGACAGCAGGCCAGCACACACGTCCACAGGAGCCCCACTTTCTCGTCCTTCGGTGTGGCTTACTTTCTGAGCAAGGTGCACCCAGATGGTGAAGTAACTGGCTGAAGAATAATGGTTACACATATGAACCCTGTTTTCCCTTCAGCAGAAGAAATCATTAAGGGATGGTCTCCCTCAACCCCTTCATGCTAAATACTTAGAGCACAGAGTCTGACATAACACATATTTCAAAAAGTATTTGCTGAATGAATGAACAAATAACAATACTACTAACAAACAGTGAGCTGGAACCCAGACCTCCTATCCCCCATCCACCACTCTTCCTAGTTCACTCTGATTCCGATTGTCTTGGCCTGATGGCTGCCTTTGGAGCAGAGTTATTAAGCAGGTATTAAGGCTGTAGCTCAACTTCAATGTGCCAGCTCCCGCAGCCGCTAGAAATTCCCAGCCAGCCTGTCAAGTTAAAGCCGTCTCTAGAAATAGCCGTGCAGCTGAGGAAGTGAGCTGCATATGGAGCATCCGTTGTCTGTCTTCTGAGGAGCTGAGTTGAAGGAATTCGGAAGGTTAACGAGCTCTCTCTGGCTCCTGTGGTCTTGAACAATCTGTGGGTGTGGGCCTTGTCCATCTGGGGACATAAACACCCACACAGAATGCCTTGGGTGCGCACAGGCCTACTCAATGCTGAGAGACGTCTTGCTCCAGCGATTTGTGAACTTTTTAGAGGCCATGAAGGGAGACTGAAAAACTACTCAGGCTTTGTAATCAGACAGTTCAGGGTTTTAAACCTTGATTCCTCTGCTTACCTGGATAACTTTGGCTCCTCTCTGAGCTTCTGTTTCTTCACATGTAAAACGGGAACTATGATAACAGCTATAACTTGCAGGGCTATCACGAAGATTAAATGATCAAGTGTGCAACGAAAGCACTTACTATAGAAATAAGCACTCCATAAATGGGTGGCTTTGATAGTTGGTTTGAACCTAAACTGCCTCTGGAACACTTTTAATTTCTTCAGACCATCCGATCAGTCACTTCATAAACATTTGCTAAGTGCCAAACAACATGCAGTCACTGCGCTGAGACGGGGGATGGGTCAGGGAAAGAGAGAACAAACATTCATCAGGAGCCCACACTGAGCGGGCTCCGCGCTAAGTGCTGGGAATCGCAGGTGAGTGAGTCACAGCATTTGAGTTTACTATCTGCTTTTGCTTCTTCATTTCACACATTCATTCACTTAAGAGACATTAAAGCTCACGAAAGCCCCTGTGGCTTTCTGGTCACCAGGATTTCTTTTTGAACCAGTCTTCTCTGAATTTTCCTGGGGCAGAAGAGTGGGCCTGACAGACTTGCTTTACCCTGGGCCAACGGAGCTCCGTCCCAGCCTCCCACTGCTCCCTGACCATCTGGTTTTCCACTTGTAGTGACGAATAGCTCCACACTCTCAAGAGAAGCCTGGGTGTCCTTGGCCTCAACATTATTGCTTTTGAAAGTAAACGTGCTGTGGCAAGACCATCCTGCCCTCTTAAGGGCTTTTGCGGTTTGGTCCTTGTCCCATGTCCTCCTGGTCAATCATGTTAATTTATTTCCTGTTATCAATTTCATCACTAAGTATGTCCTCATATAATGTTATTACAGCACCAGTCATACTTCCATAAAATTTCAGGGGAAAGTGGCTATTACTGGAAATAAAAGTGCTCAGAGAAGCACGTGATGAAGAGAACATTCCACAAAACTGATGTGTTCTCTATTTCCCACAAATCTACAGCAAAAAGTGATTCATTTTTAAAATTGCTCTAGAGTTGTCCATCTAGAATAACTCAAGAAAAACGAAACACTTGTCATGGTTGTCACTAAACCAATCAGTCAATCTTACAGCACAATAATTCCAGAACAATTAAATTCAAATGTAACATGAAACCATAAGAATTTTAGAACAAAAAATGCTCGAAAACTTTTACACTTTTGAGGTGAGAAAGGCATTTCTAAGTATGAAATCAAAGGCAAAAGCATTAAGAAAATGACCAACAGAAAAAAGTTTAAAATTTTTATATAGCCAGTAATTCCCCAAAACGTTAACAAACATAAATAAATTTGGAAAGATATTTGCAATCCACAAAGAGCACTTAACGTACAAAGTGCTTTCACAGTTGCAAAAAAGGCAAAAGTCATGAAAATAAAATTCACAAAACGCAATGTCCAATAAATATAAAAAAAGTTTGACCTCACCAAAGAAATACAAATTAAAACAACGAGATACAACTTTTCACCATTAGATTGGGAAAGATTAAATTTATGGATTATACAAGTATGTGTCCAGCACTCGCATACATTCTTAGTGCAAGCATAATGGGCTTTGTTTTCTGGATGGTTACTTTCAACACGCAAAACAAAAAAAGATTTAAAAAGTGCATACCATTTGACTCAGCGATTCCACTTCTGGGTATTATCCTAAGGAAATAACTGACAGAGGTATATTGTAGCCTTGTTTATAATAAAGAAAAATTTGAAGCAACCTCATATTTATAGAGGATAGTTTAATTATGTTATATCCATACAGTGGAGTATCATGCTACCATTAAAAATGGTGATTCTCTCTCTTTTGCTGGCTTTGAAGAAGCTGCCATGTTGTGAGACGGTCTATGGAGAGGACCACGTGGCAAAGAACTGACGGTGGCCTCCAGGAGCTAAAAGCAGCCCACTGCTGACAGTCAGCAAGGAAACAGGAACCTCCACCTAGAGATGCAAGGAGATGAATCCTGCCAATAACCTGAGCGAGCCTGGAAGCAGATCTTTCCCCAGTCAAGCTTCTGGTGAGACTGCAGCCTGGCCAACACCTGGACTACAGCCAGGGCAACAAAAACTGTGAGATAATAGATATGTGTTGTTTTAAGCTCCTAAATTTGTGGTAATTTGTTCGCTGTCTATGTTAAGTAAAAAATAGGTTATGAGGGGCCGGCCCCATGGCTGAGTGGTTAAGTTCACGCGCTCCGCTGCAGGTGGCCCAGTGTTTCGTCAGTTCGAATCCCGGGCAAGGACATGGCACTGCTCATCAAGCCACGCTGAGGCAGCATCCCACATGCCACAACTAGAAGGACCCACAACTAAGATACACAACTATGTACCGCGGGACTTTGGGGAGAAAAAGGAAAAAAGTAAAATCTTTAAAAAAAAAAGTTATGAAATAGTATGTGATACGATCTTATTTAAAATTACACTTACGTTTGAATAAATATTCATAGAAAAATGTCTTGGACAATATAAACCACTACGTGCATCCCTCATAGTTTTCTGCCTTTCTCAAAATTTATTTTTTAAATGAACATGTATTTTGTAATTGTAGATATATTCCCATTTTTAAAGGAAAAAAATCAGTATTTTAAACCTTGGGAGGAGAGTTTACCTGTGATGGTGTCATTTTTGTGTCATGATGATGCAACATTTTTTTGTTTTGCCTCGAAACACATTGACATCCATTTATTTAAAGATAATATAATGCATTTGTGCTCATTAAGCTAATCTGTGGACATGATTAAACATGGATGCCCATCTTATACTAAGGGATAAAATGAAAAAAACTGCAATCAGTTTTTGCACTGCTAAAAACAGCTCATATTAAATTGAGAAATTGCATTATGGCTTATTTCAAACACAATTGCAAATGATTAGAAGAAAACAAAATCACAACCTGGATAACTGCTGTGCCAGAACATTTCTATGCAATAATGGGACACTGAAGCTAGATTAACAGGGTAAGTGCTTCAACAAGGGCATCACTGACTCTTAAAGAGAGATTATCCATTTCTCACCATCACAGTAGGTGGATGCAGAGAGATGGTCAAGCAGTGGCTAAGACATTATTGAGGAGAACATATTTGGAGAGGATGCCATGGGATAAACTATTTTAATATTAACTAGAGAACACATTTGGTGGAAGGTTGGAAATGTAGCTTAAAGATTCATATTTATATCAAGATTTTCTTTTTAAGGGTCTAATTCATAAAGCAATCTACTGAGTTAGGTCTAATCAATCACATATTCAGAGATTCAAATCTGGGAAGAAAAAAAAGAGTGGGGATTAAAATACACAGAAATGCTAAAAAACTATCATTTGAATGTAATCTAACTTGCAACCTTTATGTGCCTTAAAAAAAACATTATTTTGAAAGTGTCACCAGAAACACAGTATCACTCCTCAAAAATAAGTTAAAAAGTTTTTTTGCAAGAAGCCCTCCTGGAACTCAAGAACAAAGCTGTTTTTATTCTACACCACCCACAATGTTGTCTTTTCTCAACATTATTGTTCCGAGCACATTAGGGCTCCGTTATTCCAAAGTTTATATCACTTCTTCTAGGCAGGGCTTCCTATAGCAGGAATAATTAAGAAGCTTCAGTGGTTAATCAAAGAAGTCATTTTCAGATAAACTATGAAGTTGCCAGAGAGATGAAAAATCACATTTCATCTGCACTAATTAGTTTGGAAAGTATTCCATACGTGGGAGTCTTTCCAAAAGATACTGTTACTCCGGGGTGGCAGTGAAAGGAGAGAAATTATACCTTAGCACGTGAGTTCTATTCAACTTTCACCATCAGAAAAGGTGTGCGCTCTAAAATCAACAATTTTAGTCACTAAGAAAGAATGTCACAGACTCAAAGTAATAAATTTAATTGATATCTAATTCTCCAACCATCTTTTCTTCCTTTCTCAGTATTTTGATGAGAAAGCCAGTATTATTTGGTGAGAGATGTAGAAGTGCTTAGAATAAGGGTTGATATGTAGTAACTTATTATTTCATTTTTAAAAATTACGCACCTTTGATTTCATGGGATCAAAAATGAAGTGTGCCAACTCCAGGCGAGCTTCTGCACACACATCAGAGTATCCCTGGGGAGGATGGAGGATAAAGTGAGATCTGATCATCCCTCCTTCACCAGGCCATTGAATGGCCTTTCTGTGTGGTGAACAACGTGAGTTGGTATCACCATTTCCACTCCATTCTCCTGGCTGGAGATGTGGAAGCTACACTTCCCACATTCTCTTGAAGCTACGTTCTGAGTGTAAACTAGGATTATGAGATTTCAACGTGGAAGTGAGGCAAGGGTCCTCTGCCTTCCCATTCAGCTCTTTCTACTACGAAGCAAAGTCTTGGAAATGTTAGGTTTTCCTGTCCAGATCTCCAGTATGCCTTCTCCCTACTAGGCGATTAGCGGCTTTTACAGAAGCCACAGCAGAAGCACCTACTATCAATTCTGGCTTCCTATGCCTGGATCACAGCTACCGGGTGTGTCTTGAGATAACAATACTAGTGGAGGTCTTGAAGGTAGCAGCTCGCCTAGGCAGTCAGTTCTGTTTTGTTCTGGATGGGAGGATGCAACAGTTTTAAGCCCTCAGAAATTCAGAATCTAAAGAATTTATGCATAATATAAATAACACACTAGTCACTTTTCCACTGGGGAACCTTGTTGTTATAGAGTTGAAATTCCAAGAAGGTTGTTAAGTGAATCTGGAAGGAGAGTAAAATTGGATAGGGTTTTTGCACATATTACTTAAAAAAATTTTTGGTGGAACATCCCATAAAAGTTATCATAGAGAAATGATGTCTACATAGTCCAGATCTTCACAACAGTGCTGATTTCAAATACTAGGTATTTAAGTTTTGGTTAGAAAATATGATCATAACAACCGTAGAGTATATCTTTCCAGTGACTAAAATACAGACTTTATATCCAGTTGTGAGATGTGAAAACGAACTAACGAGACTTCAGGTTATTGGCTAAAGAAAATATCACACACATAACCTCTCCCCTCGGCTGTGCTCTCCATTCAATCTCGTCATCTTTCCTTGGATGGAAAGGCAATCCCCTCCCCCACCTCCAGTGGGGATGTTTAAACACTCTCAACTCCCCATCCTCTTCCTTCCCTTTCACTCTTGGTACATGATCCGATTGGCTTAGCTTGAGTCAATTGCGCAGCCCTTGGCCAGGGGAGCAGAAGGGGTGTAAGTCAAGAATGCCACCAAGACTGCAGATAAAGCAGCTACCCCAAAAAGCAAGGAGGGAATGGATGCCGGCGGCCACAGGATGCAAACTCCTGGGCGTGCATACATGATCCATGGTGACAAGGCACTGCCTGACTCTCCTACCCGCCTTCACACCCAGCAGTCACATACACTACACTCTCTCTGCCATCTACATACTTTTGTACAACTATTCCCTACACTCAGCTTGGTCCTCTCTAGCTCAATCTTCAAGACCATCTCTTTAGGTCTTCTCTAACAACCGCCTCCTTCTTCCTCGCCTCCCCTCCAGGTTGGATGCCCTTCTCATGTGTTCCCATACCAATCTTTTTTTCTTCTTCTTCTTCTCCCCAATGCGCCCCCCCCCCCCCCCCCACCAATACACAGTTGTATATTCTAGTTGTAGGTCCTTCTAGTTGTGGCATGTGAGATGCTGCCTCAACATGGCCTGATGAGCAGTGCTAGGTCCACGTCCAGGACTGGAAGCAGCAAAACCCTGGGCCGCAGAAGCAGAGCGTAGGAACTTAACCACTTGGCCACAGGCTGGCCCCCCAATTTTCTTTTTTTTGAGCAAGATTAGCTGTGAGCTAACATCTGCCACCAATCCTCCTCTTGTTTGCTGAGGAAGCCTAGCCCTGAGCTAACATCTGTCCCCATCTTCCTCTACTTTATATGTGGGACGCCTGCCACAGCATGGCTTGCCAAGCGGTGCCATGTCCGCACCCGGGATCCAAAACGGCACATGCTGGGCCACCAAAGTGGAACCTGTGCACTTAAACCGCTGCGCCACCAGGCCAGCCCCCCGATTTTCCTTTAGACTCTACTGTTTATGGAAAACATCTGTCTTTACAATAACCCTATACTGGTGTTCTGCCGTGACAATATGTTTACAGTGACGTATCACGCGAGGCCTGCTTCCGGAGCTGCAGGGGAGCGGCCTTACCCTCATCCCGTCTGTGGATTCTTGTCCGCTTCAGGCAGTGACCCGTGTGGACTCAGTATACACAAAACCATATTCCTGAGGCGTGTGCTCGAAACACTGTGTACTGACTCCTACCAGCCCGCCTGGTCTGAGAGCCCCTCTGCAGGGCAGTTCGTCGCCACTTATCTTCAGCGTCCATCGGCAGCGCGGGGCCGGGAACGCCCGCCTTGCACGGTTGGTGAAAATAGGAAAAATACACGTAAAGGATCTGGCGGCGGGTCAGCCACAGAGCACGTCTGTGCCTCGTGCGTTGTTCGGCACGTCCAGGGAAGGGATTATTTCTACTGCGCTGTGTGATCCAGGACCAGCGGCGAAAGTCAGAAACAGCAAACCGCAGATGCAGCGGACACCGCTGGTTGTCGTCGGAACGCGTTCTTCCCCTCCTTTTCGGAGGGGCGTCTCACTGAGCAGAAAGGTGCTCGGATGACATTTCTCGGCGAGGCGAGCCACGGCGCCCAGTCCAAGCCCACAGGCTGTGGGTAGAAGTTGTTGGCTGGGGCTCCTGGACAGGCCTCTTCTAAAATAAGGTCGTGAAGGCTGGCGCCGACAACCCTTTTGGCCCCAGTTTGTGGGCGGAAGCCAAGCTGTAAAGACAGAACCGCGTTTGGATCTCTGCAGCACCTACCCCAAGCTTCCTCTCATGAGACGGAAGAAGAGCCCGGCGGGCTTAGGATGCTGGAATTGGGGGGCTTCTGTTACACGCAGGCGAGGCCCCCCAGCCCACGTGCTAACGGAGCAGGCGCGCTGGCCGCCGGTCCCTGCGAGTCCTTGGGACGTCCTGGACCAGCCGGAGGCCGGGCCGGAGGAGCGGGCAGTCAGGACCGGGAGGGCGCGGGCAGCAGAGGGCGGGAAGCAGGCGCCAGCGCCCGTCCTCGGAGATGCCGGCCACACGCCGAGACGGTCGCCCTCCCGCCGCCGACCTCCGGGCCCCGGGGCGCGAAGCGGGAGTCAGACCCACAGGGAAGCCCCGCAGCAGGGAGGAAGCGGGCGGCGACCCGCCACGGCCCTAGGGCCCCAGCGCGCGGCCCCCCACGATCCCTGCGCACACCTCCTCTGACCTGCACGGCCCACCAACATCCCGTGCCCGGTGCCCTCTCGCAGCCCCACCGCCCCGTTAGCCCGCACCCCCACAATGCCCCCCGCCCCCTCAGCCCGCACCCCGACACGGCCCCGCGCCGCCTCAGCTCCTCGCGGCCCCGCCGGCCCCTCAGCCCGCACTCCCACACTGCCCCGCGCTCCCTCAGCCCGCAGCCCCTCTCGGCCCCACCAGCCCCTCAGCCTGCACCCCACACCCCATCAGCCGTCAGCCCGCAGCCCGCTGCCTGCTTTGAAAGCGCCGGGAGCCGCCGGCCGCGTCATGGACCGCCTCGGGCTGCCATTGGCCGGCGCGCGTCACGTGCAGCTGCGCGTGGCCGTGATTGGTGCTGCGCGGGCGCGGAGAGGGGGCGGGGCGCGGGCGGCCGAGGGAGCGGCGCCGCAGCCGAGGGCGCCAGGCGGTGAGTGGTGCGCTCGGCGGCGGTAGCGGGAGGGCGAGCGGCCAGGCCGGCAGGGGCGGCGGGCGGCCCTCCTGCGGGGCGTGCCGGGCACGGGTCCACTGGGCGCCCCGGCGAAGCGCGGCCCGTGGGGTCGGCCGGGGCAGGGGGCGGCGCACGGCCGGCCGCTGGTGTCGCCGAGCCTTCCCGTGCGGTTGTGAGCGGCGGCACGGGGGCCTCTCCGGCGGAGCGGCCGGCCCCGGGGCGCTCTGCGCGGGGAGCGGAGGCCGTCCTCTGGAGAGGGGCGCCGGCGTCGTCGGGCGGCTGGCTGACTGAAGGGGCGCACGCGGGGACCCGAGGGGCTGGGACGGCCGCGACGGCGGCGTGCGGTCTGCCGTAGACCCGATTCTGCCCCAATTTGGGGTGGCCGCGACCTCGTCACCTGGCTCCAGGACGTGCGACCTCAGCGTGGGCGGCCCGCTCTGCCCGTGGGGGCGTCTGTGGGGAGCAGGGCGCCGCGGTGAGGACACTGCCGGGCGGGCTCCGGGGGGAGGCGGAGACCGGGCGCCCCAGGACCCGAGGGCCGTCCCGCCGCTGTGACGGTCGGTGGCCGCGCGCGGACGCGCACGTCGTTGTGCTTGCTCTCCGCGACACCGGAGGTGCCGTCCCTTCCCGTGCGAGGAAATCGGGGCTCAGAGGGTCTGGGCGGCTCGCGGGCGGAAGGGTGCGGCGGAGGCGCTGGGATTAAAGGCGAGCCTGCGTGGCCCGGCCGCGCCGCTCCCCGTGTGGTCTCAGCCTCGGGCGGCTCGCGTCCGCGCCTGTGTGCACAGGAGGTCCCCCGTGAGAGTACTCACAGCGCCGAGTCCCAGCCCCCGCTCCTTGTGGGCTCGCGTCTTAACAGCTCTCCCGGCGGTTCCATGTCGGTGCCTCAGGGACGGTCCGCACGCAAGGGCTCTGGGCCGATTTCCCGCCCTGGCTTGATTGGGTTCTGCCCGGCACCGCGCCTTTCCCTCTCTGAGCAGACTCCTCTCGTCTTCCAGACATGCGGCGCCCGAGCCCCGGGAGGAAGCCCTGCGCTGGGCGAAGCCAAGGTATGAGCCGGCGCGCTCGCTGCTGGCCGGCTCGCGGTGGCGCGAGCGCGGGCCGTTTTGCTTGGCCTTTTTTCTGTGCAGCGCTTCCTTCGGCGCTGTTCTGACCCTCCTACGAAACCAGGCTCGAGGCATTTCTTTTAAAGTTAATACTAAACAAACTTCAAAACACCATGGAAAAAATTTAAAAACCGCCATTCACCCATAATGCCAGCAGCCTAACAATTATTTTCATGTTCTGTTATATTCTGTTAATTAACCATCTCCTTGTTGTTAATCACACAGATTGTTGAGGTTCACAAAATTTAGAAAATTTTTCTGAGCGATGGGCTTGCACTTCAAAATTCCAATTGGAAATCTGAAAATTCTCCCGAAGGTGAACCTTTAATAACAGTTCTCTTAAGGCCATATCTCATTCTTTTGTTGTTGTTGTTTTTAAAGATTGGCACCTGAGCTAATGTCTGTTGCCAATCTCTTCTTCTTCTCCCCGAAGCCCCCCAGTACATAGTTGTGTATTCTAGTTCTGGGTCCTTCTGGTGCTGTATGTGGGACGCTGCCTCCATGTGGCCTGAGGAGCGGTGCCGTGAATCTGCTCCCAGGATCCCAACCAGCGAAACCCTGGGCTGCCACAGCCGTGTGAACTAACTTAACCACTCGGCCCAGGCCAGCCCCATATCTCATCCTTTTTCCAAACTAAGAATGCCTCAAAGTCTGAAGGTTTTCTTTAGTTCTAAAACAAGCGGTATAGTGGGTGTGAAAACTTGTACCTTGAAATGTTTCTTTTCTAGTAGCTTTGTCTGCTCTTTCCCATGTCACCTCAACCTCACCAAAAGATACGTTTGATTTAATTATTTAATTTACTTAGATATTTCTTGTTCTAAAAATTATATAAGTTGGATAATCAGAACATATCTTTGCAGATATTGACTGTGTCGTTTAATGCAGTTAATGTGTTGTTACTGAAAAATTGTATTTATTTTTGCTGATTCCTGTGGAGACAACATGGGCTAGAGGAGATAAAGTGGCTTTTGGTTTAAGGAAGAACTGGTTTTCAAATCTCAGTTCCAACACTGTCTTGATCTTGGGCCAATGACTTCCTCTCTGATTCTCAATTTGCTCGTCTTGAAGATGGGGACAGTGCCTCCAGGGTTTGATCTGAGCAGGTATAAAGCCCTGGTACAGTACTAAGTACAACTGTTTTTTACTTTTGGTTCTCTTTTTCCTGCACTCTTTTTAGAGCAAATTTGTTCCAGTCCTGCGGTAATATTCGAGGTCGTTTTTGTTTCCAAAAGAAATCCAATTTTTTTTCTGAGGATCTATGTGTGAGGCATAAAAAAGTCCATAAAAATAATAATGAGCCACCTTTTGAAAATTTTTTGAGAAATCTAAGGACACAGACTATCCAGCTCTTTATCATGTTTTGCTCTCTATGACCAGAATCATCCATTTGTTAATTCAATAAATACTTATGAGCTCTTATTAGTGCCAGGCAAGACAATAGACGGGGTCCCTGGTCTTACAGAAATTATACAGGAAAGACAATAAGCAAATAAAACAAGGTAATTACAGATTGTGATAAATGATTGAACAATAAAGCTGTGACGTCTCTGAATGTTAACATTGTGAGGAAATGTGTTCCTCACTGAGTTTAATTTGTAACAAAATATTAGTTAGATGATTCTCTTAAATTCTTAAGTCTCAGTTAAGATTGTTAAAGTGCATTGTGTGTCAGAAAATGAGGAACTTAAAGAAAATAAATGAGCAAGCACAGTTAAAGATTCCGGTCTGAAATACTTTTTTTTTTTTTTGAGGAAGATTAGCCCTGAGCTGACATCCATCGCCAATCCTCCTCTTTTTGCTGAGGAAGATTGGCCCCGAGCTAACATCTGTGCCCGTCTTTCTCTATTTTATATGTGGGACACCTCCCACAGCATGGTGTGCCAAGTGGTGCCATGTCCACACCTGGGATCCGAACCGGTGAACCCCAGGCCGTGGAAGCAGATTGCAGGAACTTAACCACTAAGCCAACAGGCTGGCCCCAGGTCAGAAATACTTTTTACAGTAGATCCAAGAGATGTAATTTATATTTGTTCCGTAAAAATGTCAGTGATTTGATAGTGCTTTGGCTTAACTTGTAAGAAGTCATAATCTTATTTTTCTTGGAAGTCATTCCCTTTAGTAACAGTATGGGCACCTAGTTTGGTAGAAAATTATGTCCAAAAAGATCTTTCTCAGTGGTTTCTGTAAAATGTATTGATCCTTAAGCCCATGGGAATTTTAACACAAATGATGAGTATGTACTGACCCTTAAAACACATGTACGAGAGAACAACTAGCCCAGTAACCTTAGATGTGATTTAGAAGTTACATAGCTTTTTTTCCCTAGTTGATCAAACAGTGATCAATCTGATCATAGTAAATTGAACAGATTGAATTGTTAAAGTGAATTTTGCAAGTGACTAGTTGCAATGATGAAAATTTGGCACTCCCTAACTAGTTACACTTGCATGAAAAAAATAACTTAAAAATGTTAATAGGGATTGTGCTTTAGCATTTTCTCAGTTTGTTATTAATCATGTTTTCTGAGCCACCAGTTTGGACACTACTTTTTTGTCATGCTATAAAACCTAACATTTGTCCTCTTGGTGGTAAACCTTATGATTTTAATCTATAAAGTTTTGAGCAGCATTTTCTCCCACAAGGCCATCACCTAGTCTAGTTCTAGCTGCGAAAGAATACTTCCTCTCTTTGTTCTTTCTGTGTGGGCATGAATAAGAATCAATCTCTGGATCAGACTTTCCTGTCTGGATGGTGCAGTGTTTATAGCACAAGGAGCTGGCCATTGCAGGTGGAGAGTGATTAGAAGACCCACACATAGTTATTTGAGGGAAACAAAGGCATACCTTTTTGGTCTTTGAATCATTTCTGTTCACTACAGTTCAGGCAGCACCGTTTCTTCTGCACGTTTGAGCTGGTAATTTGTGGCATTCTGTCCTTCAAAAGGAAGATTTCTTTGGCTCTAAATATGAACTCAGGACTTTATTTCATTAAAAATTTTTGAGCACTTGCTGTGTGCCAGGCATTGTAATGGTGTAAATGGATCTATTCTAATTGATTCAGTGACGAATTCCTGTATGTTTAAGAAGGGCCATGTGATCTTAGCTGCTCATGGAAACATTTTCTCATTTAGAATCATGCCTTTGCAAAGTCAATCTTGATGTTCCTTTTATAGCTTGTGAAGACTAATTCAACTCTAGGTGGAAAAGGTTCTAGAGAATTTACATTTTCCCCATTTCTTCTTGTAACGCAGATGCATTTTTTCTATCATTTTGAAATTTTTTACACATAAATGTAAAGACTAAAATTATTATTCTGCAACTTGCTTTTATTTTTCTAACTTGTCAGTGTATTACAGGCAATTTTCCAGGTCATTACATATAAATCTAACTTGTTAAAAGCATAGCTGACAATCATTCCATTAGAAATAGATGCTATAATTTGCTCAACCATTTCTTACTCAAAAGTATTTAAATTAATGCCAGTTTCTTTTCTACAAGAAAAATACTACAGCAACCACACTTTTACACACAGTGATGGCCTTTTAGCTTTTTAGATAAAAATACAACATATGCATTTCTATAATAGCTATAAATTACCAGTATATAGACAAAAGAAAAATAGTAGGCCTCTTGGGAATATGAAATCATTTTCTGTCTATCCGGAGCTCTGTCCTTCCTATCAGTCTTGCTCTCCCTCCTGCCTTCTTATTTTGCCCATTTTAAAAAACTGGGTTGTGGGGCCGGCCCAGTGGCGTAGTGGTTAAGTTCTTGAGCTCCACTTCAGCAGCCTGGAGTTCACAGGTTTGGATCCTGGGTGCAGACCTACACACAGCTCATCAAGCCATGCTGTGGCAGTGTCCCACATACAAAACAGAGGAAGATTGGCACAGATGTTGGCTCAGGGACAGTCTTCCTCACAAAAAAACCCACCAAAAACAAAAAAAATTGAGTGGTTTGCTTTCTTATTATTCCGTCTTAAGAGTTTTTTGTATATGCTGGATACATGTCCTTTATCAGATAGTGATTTGCAGATATTTTCTCCCATTCTGTCTTTTCATTCTCTTAACAGTGTGTTTCATAGAACAAAAGTTTTTAATTTTAATTAAGTCCAACTTAAAGGTTTTTCTTTTGTGAATTTTGCTCTTGATATTGCACTTAAAAACTCAGCACCAAACCTAAAATTGTGCAGATTTTTCCCTGTGTTTTCTTCTAGAAATTCTGTAGTTTCTCCATTTTACGTTTAGGTCTATGATCCATTTTGAGTTCATTTTTGTGTAAAGTTTACTTTGTTGCATATGCACTTCCACTGTCTGGCATCTTTTGTTGAAAAGTCTGTTCTTTCCCCCTTGAATTGTCTTTGCACCTTTGTCAAAAATCAACTGTATTTTTGTGGGTCTATTTCCAAGCTCTCTATCCTGTTCCATTGATTGGTGTGTCTATTCTTTTGCCCTCCATGTTCTTTACTGTAGCTTTGTAGTAAGTCTTGAAATTGGGTAATATGAATCCTCCAACTTTGTTCTTTTCCAGAATTGAATTGCCCATTCTAGTACCTTTACCTTTTCATGAAATTTTAGAATAAGCTTGTGTATGTCTGCAAAAAACCTGGCTGCAATTTTGATGGGAATTGCATTAAGCCATAGAACAGTTTGGAAGGAATTGATGTCTTTACTATGTTGTCTTCCAATGTAAGAACACAAGAGATCTCTCCATTTATTTAGATTTTCTTTGATTTCTTTCATCAGTGATTTCTAGTTTTCTGTACACTGATCCTGTACATATATTTTGTTAGGTTTATACCTAAGGACTTCATTTTGACAGATGCTATTATAAATATATTATTTTTTTAATTCAAATTCCAAGTACTCATTGCTGGTATATAGAAAAGCAGTTGACTTTTGCATTAACTGTGTCCCTTTTGACCTTGCTAAACTCACTTATTATGTA